AAAAAGACAAAAGTTTGTTTTTGCTGTAAATAAAACTGAACAGTATTAAAATAAAATAAACTTATATTATTAACATGTTACCTAAATTTTTTTTTTTTAAATCATTTTAAAATAATTTATTGTTCCCTGTTTGGCTCGATAATAATAATTATTGTTTTTTACTGGTTTTAATAAAATTTTTCAAAAGCTTTTTAAAATTTTAAATATTTTGTTTGTCACATTTGAAATAAATTCCTCTTAAATGTTTAATTTTTTGAAATGTTCAGTTTTTCTGTTAATTTAATGTTAAAGACTAGGCTATAGTTTTTGAAATTTAAAAGTACAAGATAAAATTATTATTAATATTTTTGTCTTTTATTAAAATTAAATTGTATTCTTTTTGCGTTATTAATTAATAAATTTTATTTAAAAGTTTTTCAAAACTTGTTTTATATGAATAACTTTTCAATTTTTAAATTTAAATAATACTTTAAATAAAGTATTATTCCTTAGTTTTATTTTTCTCTTTTTTTTTAGTAATTTTTGAATAATATTGGATGAAGGGATTTTTTATTGTCGACAAATTTATTTATTAAAATTAAAAATAATTTATGAAGGATCTAAAATCATTTATAATTGAAAAATTAGTCAAATATGGTTTAAAAATTGTGAATCATAAAAAATTTTGCGCGTGAAAAATTTCAACGACATTAAAAGATAACTTTCTAAAACCACGTGAAATATATTTAATTTCTTTTTCCTCAAAGAAAGAAAAATGTTATGAAAAAATGTTTTCAAAAATAAAAATAATTTTAAATAAATGGCCTGGAGAAAGTAAATTTGGACCCTATCGATTTTTACCTGCTTTTTTTTTCTTAGGAGTAGCTATAGAGTTTGCTATGATCAATTGGAGGCCGAATGGCATTAACTTTTGTAAGTCATAATAAGAAAAAACTCAAATTCAAAATATATATTTTTAAAAAAAATTTTATTATTTTGTATAGATGAAACGTATAAACGAAAAAAATCACGAGAAAAAGCATTACAAAAATTTGAAATATTAAAAGAATTAGAAAATTATAATAAATAAAATGTCGAATGTTGGAAGGAGTTTGAAATTTCTCGTTGCATCGTACATAACCTCACTTCTTGGAAGTCATTGCGTTTATTTGTATTATCAGCCAATGGCGGATTTTGAAGAAATGGTGGATATTGAATTGGAAGAACTTTTGGAAGAAGACAAAAAAAAAAAGAAAATAGTGTAGTAGTTTAAGATGTATTCAAATGTGACGTTAGTATGTATTAATATTATTATTTATTTACTTTATTCAATTTTATTATTATTATTATTATCATTATAAAAATATGATCATTTATTTAATTTTTTGAAAAGTTTTTGACCCTAATGAAATATTCCTCATTCATTTACTTTATGAATAATAATACAATAAATTTGCAATTTTTAAAAATTTTCCTCTTTTGCAATTTTGAAAACAAGCAATCAATCACTTTTTAATTCTTAATTACCCAAATAATGGATTATTTTATTTAAGTAAATGATGAGATTATAAAATTTTTATATTATTTTGAATTTCTAAATTAGTTTCACTTAATAAAATTTTTGTCGTTGGTGTCCGACATTTAAGTTGTTGGCACTTTAGCAATGAAAGATTATTTTTTACATTAAAATTTTTTGAAAATGGGATAACACACATATAGTTGTAAAAGTTTACTTGAATGGGGGGGGGGGGAGTATTGAAAGGGAAAATCAACTTACATGTAATTATATACCCACCACCTTTATTTAAACTCTTAATCGGAAAGATAAAAATATTAAATTATTGTTTTTTTGAATTCTCATTTTATTCAAAATTTATAGTGAAGATGGCCTTTTAAAATTTACTACCTTTTGAAAAAACCAAATATTTATAATTATTACCAATATTCTAACTTGTTTAAAGTGAAACTATATAATCCTCTTTTTGTTTATTATATTTCTAAATTTTTTAAGTTTTGGCACTCATCTTTTTTTTTAGTTATAAAAACCGCTAACAAAAATTTATAATACTGCTTGTTTTAAATTTTATTGAAGCTTCCAAATTATCTAAATAGATTAAAATATACTATACTATAATATAATATAATGTGCCACCTGTCACAGGATATAAAATTTACAATTATTTAAATTAATTTGCACTTTTGGTAGATTAAAATAAATTTTTTTAATGTTGATCTATGAAGTTCGATTAATAAAATATGGCAAAAGATTAAGAAAAAAAAAAAAGATAAAAAATTAAATAAAAGAAGTTTTCAAAAAGTTTTAATTATAATAATAATAATAATAATAATTGATGGATGTAATTGACAATGTTTAGTCAATACATAAATTTATTATTAAAAATTACAATTGTTCTCGTTCATGACAAATATTTTGGAGGGAAAAAAAAAAAAATCAGTTTGTACTTTTCTAATTCGATTAAAAAAAAAAAAATTTTTAATTTTACTTAGGGAAAAATAATAAATTCATTTAATCCAATATTTTCTTTAGATTTTTTACTTGAAATTTTTTGGTAAACATAATGAACTTGTTTCAAAGGTATAATCATTTTTTTTAACTTTAAAAAATTAAAAAAAAATAAACATAAAAAATAATTTAGTAAATAAAAATATTTTTTTATTAAAAATTTTTTTTTTTTTAAATCCTTAACGTATTATTATTTTACATTAACGATATTTTTTGAAATTTTATATATTCTGTTAAAATATCAAAATATTAATTACATTTTATAAAAGTCTTGTATGTACTTAAATCATTTTCTCTTACAATTTTTCTTTTTTTATTATTCATTCATCTTTGTTTAATTCATAAATTTATGAATAATTTAAACATATTTAATAAAAAATCATCTCCTATCATATATTTCTAAAATATTTTGGCAAAAAAAAAAAAATTAATATCAGGTATTATATAAAATATATAATTATTTATCTGTAAAATCATTTCATTAAAAAAAAAAAAAAAAAAAATTACAATTAATACGGTACAAATTATTTTAATTAATAATCTTATTGAACTTAATGATTTTTTTTTTTTAAATAAAAATGATTCAAGTTCATTATCCTTAAATTTACAGATAAGTTTGTATTTAGAAAAAAAAAAAAAAAAAAAAAAAAGAAAATAAATATTAATCGATACAAAAAAAATTACTGGAAATAGATACGCTATCATACTTGAGTATCATCAATGTTCCATTCATAAATAAAACTATTTATGATTATCATCATCATGTTTTATCATAATTATAAATAATGCTGGCCATAAACGATAAAAATTCAATTTGTCTTCTCCCTACACCTTTTTGAAATATTTATTGCCGACAGTAGGATAAATTCATTTTCACATTTTTATCAAAAAACTTTTCGTTGATCGAGTAAAACCACTTATTCAACTTAATCAACTTAAAAAGCTATTATTAAAACTATTTTCAAAATTTTCATTCATTATTATTATTATTATTATTTATAATGGAAAGTTACCTCTTATTTTAAAAATAAAAATAAAATAAAATGATATAAATATATGTATATATGGATAATGATCATTATATGCATATGTAGTAATAGTCTTATTTCGACCTGTAATCATTAATTACAGTCATGTCGCCAACGCGCTGATGTTGCTGAATAACCATTTCATTGGCTCTGTGAGCTATTGCCATATTTTCTATAACATTGGTTCGATGAGCGACCAATCCGGCCATAGCCATGTGTTCAATTGTATCTCCTGGATGATTACGATGTTGAATAGAAGTGTCTTCCATGTGATGAATTCTATGAACAGGTATACTATAATAAAAATTTAATTTAATTATATTAACAATAAGTTTAAAAAGAAGTAAGAAAACTTTTTTTTGTGGTTTAAATATTTGAGGAAAATACCACAACTATTAACTTTATGATAATAATTTCTTAAATTGAAAAGATTTGTTTAAATAAAAAGTGTATATTACCTATGCACTGTAGACATATCTTCCATTGTGTTTCCTCTATGTCCCATTGTAATGTCTAAAATTGGTATAGTCTGAGGTGGTTGGCTAACAGTTTGCGTTTGTATAGAAACTGAGACTGGTGAATTTTTCGTTTTTGTCTTTCTCAAAACTTTCACAGTTTTCTCCCCTTTGACTTTACCTTTCTTAACTTTTTTTTGCTCAATTTTCAATTTATTGTCGACTTTTTTAAATTCAAACCCAAGTTGTTTTTCCAAAATTCTTCTTAATGATTTTTCACACCCCTTAAATCCTAAATCAGCTTTGCATTCTTCTAGAAATGCACCCATTGTAAATTGTTTCTCTGTAAAAAGATGGGGGGGGGGGAAATTAAAATAGTTCTAACTGTATTTAAAACATAAAAATAACAATAATATATATATATATATATCTTTTGAATTTCAAAATTTAATAATATTTTATTAAAAATTTATATTGTAGAATTTTGAGATGTTAGTATTACCTTGAAAACTATATGCATGAACTTTACGAGCGATAGCATCTTTTGTATAATCATCTACATCTGTAATAGGACTTTTCCTATTTCTCTTTCTTTTTAGTGGTGCTAATGGAATACCATTTTCTCTTTTTTTTAAAACTCTTTTAACTGAAGAATCAGATATCTATAAAAATCAAATTTTAATTTAGTTCTGAACTACTTAATATATATCAAGCTTTAAAAAAAGCTTAGTGAAGGTTAAAAAAAAAATTAAATTACTTATAAAAACTCAATTGGAAAATTTTTTCTACACGGAATACACTTTTTTACGAGGCAAAAAATTTTTACGTTAAAATTTATTATTATTATTTTAAAAATTTTATTATTACGATTAAAAAAAAAAAAATAGAAAAAAAAATTAATATCCACTTTACTATTTATCCAAATTCACTGTAATTTAAATTAACAAAATTTTTAAAAATTCATAATATCGTATATATTTCGAAATGATTGTTTTTATTTATGTATAATTCTCTTAAATTAACAACAACAATAAGTTCAGGATTTTTAAGAAGACAGGATTCTCCAACAGATACATATAAGATGGCCGAAGTTAAGGAATTGAGCAAGGGTAATCGGCAATAACCTACCTTTAACATTTCAGTAACTCTTTTAGCAAAGTGATTCAACGGTATTATAGGAACACCTGCTTCTTTTTCTTTCATACAAAAATCATAGACATCTAAAATGGCTTGTTCAAACTGACTTTGCATGGGCATACCTTGCTTATGTTTTATGCCCATTTGAACTGAATTACTCGAATCAGGCTGATGTTTGTCTTCCATTTTTGTGTACTAACTCAATTTCACTCTGAAACAATAAAAATATTTTTCGGATTTCTGAACGCAACCTGTCGAGCTTTAAAAACCATAGAGAAATTAAATGTGAAGTATAAACTCATATAACAAATTTAACAAAGTTCTAATTCTTACAGGATACTTTTTGGTTTTTTGAATTGTCTTTCAAAAATAAATAAAACTGATAATTTTGATTAACAATTTATTAAAAATAAATACAGTTACATTTACAATTACAGTTTAAGTATTTATAAAATTTCTAAATATACTTAAAAATAAAAATTCATTAAGATTTTATACACAGTAATTCTAAACAAAGTTCTTTGTCGAAAAACATAATTTATATTTTTTCTCATAAAAAACTCTTCAGATATTCAGTAATGAAACCATGTTGGAACACCAGATTTGTCAATTTTTTCATTTGATTTAGATACTTTATGTTGTTCTTTAAAATTTTTATAAGACTTCATTTCTTCCTTAGCTGATTTGTCCCCTGTAAAATCTGGGTATTCAAATTTAAAATCTGTAGGCTGAAAAAAAAAAAAAATTATTTTAGAAAAATTTTTTAAATTAAGCATAATACTTAAATAAATGTAACACATACCATAGTCACTAATGCTTCTTTATAATCATCATCTTTAATAAGATGTTGACGACCAAAACATTTTTTAATTTCTCCTGAATTAAAAAAAATTTTTATAAGAAAAGATTATAATTAAATAAATAAATAGAAATTACTTTATTTACCCATTTTAATAGTAGTTTTAACTTCTACTACAGGTATTTTGTAAATTTTTTCTAAATAGTTTTTTATATCATATTGAGTCATTTGAATTGAAGTTTGAAATAATACTTGATAAGGAGGTAATGGTTCTTCAGATCTTATTAACTTCATCCAAAAGTTTGGTAAAAAAATTCTTAATTGTGGATTTCCTTGACGATACAATGGATAACTAAAAATATTTTTATTTTTTAGAATAATAAAATAATTATATAAATATTACAAATATTATTATTAACACTACATTTTAAAAATGAAAGTAATTTAGCTCAAGTTTTTTAAATAAAAAAGTTTATTAACTTACTATCTTGTGGACATTTCAATTAGATAATTTTACTTTTAAAATTATTATTATTATTTTCGATAAATTATAAAGCGGGGTACTGGAAAATATACTATATGTAATTGATGAATCTATTTAAATTTTTAAAACAGCCATGAAATTTAACACTTTGCCATAGAGTATTCAATGTGCGTTGGCATAGAGTAATTAATGACACAAATAGTTTTTGATTAGAAGTGTTAAGAAATAATTAAAGGTTTATTTTTGCAATTTAATTATAGCAATTTTTTTGTTATCTTTTCATTATTGAATATATTGAATTTTGAGATTGTAAAATATGACTATTAAGTGCTAAAACTTAAATTTTTAAAAATGGAATTTTTATCGTTTCATACTTGTACATTTGTCGTAGGGGTTTTATCTTTATTTCATGCTGCTTATTCAGCGGCCCAACGTATGTGTACAACTCATTGTTTATAATTTTATTTATTAAAATTTTATTATTTTAATAAAACATAATTTTTTCTCTTTATTTTTATATAAATTTATTATATTTTAAATTAATGTGAATGCACTTTTTTTACAGACCGTTCTTATTTAAGAATAAGTCAACAAGAATTCCATTCTTTACCTTTAGATATAATTCTTCAAGGAATACTAAGTCTTTTTGTAGCCATGTATGGCATTTTATATAAAGCAGGAGATTTCAAGGAAATAAGAGCTACTACTGAATTAGAAAATAAATCATGGGAAACTTTACGAAATTTACCTGCATTCTATACATTTAATCATCGAGGGAAAGCAATGTTTCCATCTTATTCTGATTCAGATTATGGATTTTAGTGTTAAGTTTATATATATATATATATTAATTATTGTATGTGATTTCTATTTACAAACATCTCAATAATCATTAAAATTTGTTGGGATCTGTTTATATCAATAAATACAAATTTATCTTTAACTTGTTTTTTTTTTTCAAGAACCCTTTATTGTTTATGATTGAGTAATAAGTAAATATTTTAAAACTTTCATATCTTGTAATGCAAATTTATGTGAAAAGTGTAATAATTATTTCAAAATTTTACAATTGTTCAAATTTTAAATAATTTTTTATTAAAAGTTGTTTATTTTAATTCTATCACTCGTAACTGTTTTCAGAAGTTTTAAAAATAATTTTTAATTTAATTTTATCTGCATTAAAAAAAATTATTTAACAAGAAATATATTTAGCTTAGCTTTTAAAATACAGTAATATCAAAGTTTGTCGTACTTGTACCATTTAATATTTTTAAAACATACTCTCTCAGGAAGAAATAAATAATCAAAATCTTTATTACTCATTCATATATTAAAAATTTTATATAAAACCTGAATAATTCTTAAAGTTTAAAAAATATAATGACATTATTTAGTATTTTATCTTTTAATAATGATTATTGTAAAATTATTTAATTTCAAATCTTAATGCTTTAATTAATAGGTTTTCCTAATAATTCATTAATTGGTTAAATTTCAAAAAATTTAAATAAATAAATTTTTTTTTTTTAATACAATGATTTTATAAAATAAAGAAATAAAATTTTTAATATTATGTTAAATTAAACTGAAAAAAACTAAATAATTTGAAAGAAAAAATATTTTTTTACCATAGAACTGTTTATTAGGGGCAACTTAAGAATCATTTTAAGAATGACAGTTATATTTTAAGTGTTGCCAACTAAATATATTAATTTTCATTTATTCTTATGGAAATGTTCCGCCTATTATTAACTATTCGTGTCACTGTTACTAGATCAAATATAAGATTCAATGTTTAACCTTGTACACACTTTTAATGTCAGTTAACTTGTTAATAATGGCGGATAAACATCAGCCGGATTCTAGTAATTCTGTTCAAATGGGTATACGGCATAAGCAAGGTATGCCCATGCAAAGTCAATTCGAACAAGCTATTTTAGATGTTTATGATTTTTGTATTAAAGAAAAAGAAGCAGGCGTTCCTATAATTCCATTAAATCATTTTTCTAAACGTGTATGTGAACTCTTAAAGGTAAGTTCATAGGCTTGGGCTAGCTTGGCAGCCATTTTATGCATTAAAAACTTTTAAAAACCTGTCTTCTTAAATTAAAATTATTATTTTGACATAACCTTCAAAAAAGTTTTTATTTAATATTTTTACTAAAATTATGTATGAAAACTTTACTTAAATCAGTTTATTTATTTTTTTTCTAATTAAATATTAAATAATCTATCAAAATTAAATTGAAACAATTGATTTTTTGCATTATTTTATTTCATTTTTAATAAAATTATCTTTGAGTTTTATTTGAATATTTCATTTTGCAAGTAAACATTTTAGAAATTGGCAGTTTTGTAACTTTTAATAATTCCAGAAAATAAAAATAATTCAAATTGCAAAAATTTTTTGCCAGATTTGCCTTTTTTCAAACTTTACTGCATTTATATACATCTGAAGTTTTAAATCATTCAGGCAAATAATTTGATTATTTATTATTTTACATCATTACTTATACTTTAAATTGTTTTTGATGTATAAATTACTACAATGAATTTATTTATTTAGATTTCAGATTCTTCAGTTAAAAGAGTATTAAGAAAACGAGAAAATGGAGAACCATTAGCACCAGTTAAAAGAACTAGAAATAGAAAAAGCCCAATTACAAACATAGATGATTTTACTAGAGATGCTATTGCTAGAAAAGTTCATGCCTACAATTTTCAGGGTTTGTAAGGCGAAAATAATTAAAAAAATATTGTTTGTTCTTTTTCTTTGATTTTTAATTTAATTTGTTTTATATATATATCTTAAAAAATACATGCCTTTTATAAATTTACGATTTTAATTCTTTTTATACAAGTTTTTTTTTTTATAGGGCCAAGTAATTAAATCAAGATTATACAACTATATTTAGAGCAATTTTCAAATTGAAAATTTTTTGATCAAATATTTTTTTCTTTAGGCAAGAATGAGTTAGTTAATAAGCCATTTTTAAAGCTCATTGCTTTTAACTATCTCATTCTTTAAATATTGTTTGCAATGAATTTTTGCAGTCTTTTAATTTGAATTCTGTTTTACATTTTTCTCTCATACACATTCATGCAGAGTACCCATATATATATTTAGAGAGTATGTAAAGTGCAAAATTATAAATTTTATTTTCTCAGCCAACAATTTCTAATATTATAAGTCACAGCTTGTTACGAATATCTTAATTATCTTTCTGGAGCCAATTTTTTTTTTTTAAATTTGGATTTTTACAATATTGACAGTGAATATTTACATGAATAAGTATAAATCTCTTTTAGACAAACATTTTACCATGGCAGCCCTTTTAGAAGAGTGTAAAACAGACCTTGGATTCAAGGGTTGTGAAAAATCATTGCGAGCAATTTTACAAAAACAATTGGGTTTCGTCTTCAAAAAAGTTGATAATAAATTAAAACTGGAACAAAGAAGACTCGTTAAAAAACGTACGCGTAGTCCTAAGCAACAAAAACCTACAAAAAAAACTAAAAAACTTAAGCAAAATAGTGTTCCTGTTCAAACTCAAACAATGCAAAGTGGTCCAGTTCCTGATATGTCAATGGGTTCTAACGATAGAAATAATACAATCGATCACATGGGTGCAACATTGCATGCGTAAGTTGTTCTTCTGCTTATACATTAAGTTACTTTTAAAAATGGGTACAGAAAAATAAATAAGTTAGCATGCTTTTATAACTCATTAGAAGGAAAAATGTTTTTAAAAAAAATTGCCATAAGGAAATAATACTACTATTTAGAAGGAGATTCGTAAAACTTATTTCAGCATACCAATTCACAGAGGGACTCATACTGGAATGGAAGAAATTCAAATTAGGCATCAAGCTCATCAGACTGATACTATAGAACATATGGCTCTAACAGGATTAGTAGCTCACAGGGCTAATGTTATTGAAAGTATGGCAATGGCACATAGGGCTAATGACATAACAATGCAACAACATCACAGAGGACATACAATGGAAGGAATGACAACAGTCATTAACGAGTACAGAAAACAATAAATAAATATTTTAAATAAAGTAATTTTTATTTTTCACACTAATAAGTATTATAAATGTTTTGTTCGGTTAATTTTTTTTTGCAACATTTTGCTTGTTTTCTATATTTATTTTCAATTCTTCTTGGATTTGTTTTTCAGGTTTAGGAAAATTTACAAAAAATGTGCCAACAAGGCTATTTCTTATGAAGTTCTCACAAACTTCATAAGCGTAATGTAAAAACAGTGTGAAGAAGAATTTTAATAAATATTCAATTGGAGAAGATTTGGGTCCAATGAACATGAGAAAGAAAGTTCGACTGAGATATGGCAATGTATATTATTAAAAAAATACTTGTGGAATATGGGTACCATAAAAAAGAATTTACCCAAAAAACATGGAATTCAAAATAAGAAAATATTTTGTTTAAAAAAAAAATTTTTATTTTTTTACATCGTAATGAATTTTGACTGCTGTACCTTAAACGTAATAATGCGTCAGATAAAATCATCAAAAAGTTTTTATAGTTGAGAGATTTTTTATTTTTTTTTTAATTTTATTTTTTTTATTAATAATATGTTTTAAATCATTTATTTTTAAAACTACATATATATATATATATGTGAAAGAAAACGAGGGATTTTTTTTTTTACCATTTTTTTGTTAAGCAGTCAATAAAACATTCTGTATTTCTTTTTAAAAAAGAAATTAAAAAAATTTAAAGTAGTTATCTTTTAATTATATTGAATTTTGCTACGATGCAATTATTTGTAAAATTTATTTATTTATTGTATTTTCCTTATTTTTTATTTGTGTACAACAAATTTGTTTATGGTAAATTATCAATAATTTTCGTCGTCATGGTAACGCAGTTTGTTGATTTTTTTGTTTGTTTTTTTTTTTTTTAATAGTCATAAAGGTAAAAATATTTTAATTTATTTACAATTTAAATTATGAGAAAATCAACTAATTCCACTGCAACATTTATTTTAAAGTAAAAAATTCAAAGTAGATGCAAAAAAAAGTTAATTTGGTATATAATAAGCAAGTATTTTTGTGATAAGTTAACAAAAAAAAAAAAAAAAGAAGCATTTATTACCAAGTATCAAGTTTTATATAAAATTAAAATTGTTTGTATTTTTTTTTTAATTTAATAATGTCATTTAAAAATATTTTGTTTAATATTCGAAACATATTTAAATTTATATAAATTTTTTTCTTCTAATTTCATATATATATATATATATATATATATTGAATGTAAACCATCAGGAGAATGAAAATAAATTATTGTACAGATGTTGAAAAAACCGTTCTTATAGCTAATTTTGAAAAAAGAGGATGGGTACAAGTTGGTCCAGATGATGATTGGAATTTTTATTGGTCTGGAATACATACGTGTCGAACTTTATTCAGTGTTGACAGTGGATATCGCATGAACGATTCACAGTAATTTATTTTTATTATTTTAAAAAAACAATTTTATCATAATTAAACTTGTTTTATAACTTGTTTTAATTTTAAAGGATGATCAGTCACTTTCCAACCCATTACGAACTATCTAGAAAAGATTTATTAGTTAAAAATATAAAAAGATATAGAAAAGAATTAGAAAGGGAAGGAAATCCTTTGGCAGAAAAAGGTGAAGCTGCTGGAAAATATTTACATTTAGATTTTGTTCCCGTGACATTTGTTCTTCCTGCAGGTAAAATCAAAAAAATTTTAAACTTCATCTTAATAAATAAAAATTACATGTCTTGATTGTCTGTGCCAGATTATAATATGTTTGTTGAAGAATACAGAAAGAATCCTCAGAGTACCTGGATAATGAAACCGTGTGGAAAATCTCAAGGTGCTGGAATTTTTTTAATAAATAAACTTTCAAAATTAAAAAGATGGTCTAGAGAAAGTAAAACTCCATTCAATCCCACATTAGTAAAAGAATCTTATGTTATATCAAAGTAAGTTTTTCATACAATCAAATTATTTCTTTTTTTTTTTTTTTTATATTTTACCTAATTAATATAAAAACGTTTCAGGTACATAGACAATCCTTTACTGATAGGAGGGAAAAAATTTGATCTTCGACTTTATGTTTTAGTATCATCATTCAAACCGTTAAAAGCTTATTTATTTAAATTAGGATTTTGCAGATTTTGTACTCTTAAATACGATACGAGTATTCAAGAATTGGATAATATGTTTGTTCACTTAACAAATGTATCAATTCAAAAACATGGCGTAAGGGCAGAGTAATACAAATACATAATTTTGTTAACGTAAAATTGAGAGTTGTTGTAACGGTTTTTTTTTTTTTTTAAGGGAGAATATAATAGCATGCACGGTGGAAAATTAAGCATACAAAATTTAAGATTGTATTTAGAGAGTACTCGAGGTAAAGTTGTGACCGAACGTCTTTTTACTTCTATATCATGGTTGATTGTACATTCATTGAAAGCCGTTGCACCCGTAATGGCGAACGACCGCCATTGTTTCGAATGTTACGGGTACGACATTATAATCGATAATAAACTAAAACCTTGGCTGATAGAAGTAAATGCATCGCCATCTTTAACATCGACGACGGTTAACGATAGAATTTTGAAGCATAAATTAATTGATAACATAATATCCGTCGTTTTACCTCCCGATGGAGTTCCAGAGTGAGTTATCATTTAATTTTAAACGAATTAAAACAACAAATAAATAAATTTAAATTTATTTCCAGTGTCAAATGGAATAAAGTTCCAACTCCAGACGTTATGGGAAATTTCGAATTGTTATTAGATGAAGAACTTGCTTCGCAAGATGAAAATTATGTTAGGATTCGTAGCGAAAAAGGAAATATTCATCGATGGAAATAAATTGAATAAAAAAAAAAAAAACAAAAATTAAATTTTTTAAAATAATTTTTCTTTTAAAAATTTAATGAAAAATATCCAAACAATCAATTTTCCTACAGTAATTTTTTTTTTTTTTTATTTGCATACAAGTACGTTAATGGCGAATCAATTACAGTTGTTAAATAATACAATTACGAGTGAAATAACATTAAATCATAATACAAAAAAAAATAAAATAAAATAAAAAGGTTTTCAGTTATTTAATAATAAAAGACATTAAAGTATTTTTTTTTAAAATAATAATAATTAAAAAAAATTCATTTTGAATAACTTATTCATCCATATCGATTTTCAAATCGTTATTCCAATTAAACACAAAAAAAAAATATATGTGGTTTTATAAAACTTTATTAAATAAGTTGAAATATTATTATTATTTATCACTCAGAAATTTAAATAAAATAAAATTTTTTTAACAACAATAAACATTTTACTAAATACCTGATTTTTAAATTTACCTCCGATATTTGATTAAAATTAGGTTATCAATTGTTCGAGCTATCGAATCTAAATTAAAAACATAATGGAGCGTCGTTTCATTTGAGAAGGCAAGTCTTTATATTAACAAAAAAAAAAAAAAAAAAAAAGAATTCAATTTGTCAATATGTTTATATATCTTTCGATTTTTTCATTTTTCTTTAGTTCGATGGATAATATTAAAATGTATAATAGTACGTTATTGAAAATTAATTTTGTAAAAATCAAAATTGAAAATAAAAATCATGAAATGTCATGAATGAAATAAAAATAGAAAATTATCGGATTGTTGAAAATGGCAGCAAGAAACCGTTTTGTCTTTACACTATTGAAATTTACGTTAATGGCACAAGATATGTTGTAGAAAAACGATATAGTCAATTTCACGCTTTGCACGAAGAGGTAATTAAATTATTACTTTTTTTATTTAAGTAAATTAACAAAAATTGTATATAATTTGTAATATTTGTTGTCATTTTTTTTAAAGTCATCAAACCATTAATATGTTATCTACGCCATTTTTCATTACAGCTGATAATTATTTTATATATTTTTTTATAGCTTAGAAAATTACATCCGACTCCTAATTTTCCTCCGAAAAAAGTAAGATCTCTTCAGCAAAGAGTTTTAGAAAAAAGAAAGCAAGCATTAGAAAAATATTTATTAACAATGTTGAAATTTCAACAAAGTAGATCTCACGTTCTATCATTTTTGGGTATCAATAAACCAGAAAACAATCATTCAAGGTAATCAGATAAAAAAAAAAAAAAAACACATATTTGAAATAATTAAAACTTTTTATTTGTATTTTCTGATTAGGATTCAAGTTTAATTTTGTGATTTTTACTTTCAGTAGTGATTTAGAAAAAATTGATGAGAATAATATGAAACATCAACCGATATTTCAATTTAAAAAGGATATAATTCCACAAGGAGTGAGAACTTCAAATATTCCTGATATCGTTGTTGATGGAATTTTTCTCGGCTTATACAAAACCACTGTTAATAATTTGTGAAATGATCTACTGTCTTTTTTTTTGTATACTATTTGCCATGTTAAGTATTATGTTAAATAATTATTTCTCATAACATAAAATTATATATTTTTTTATATAAAATACATAAGAAATTATTTACATTTTAGAAATCCTGACCTGTTTTTACATTTTAATTAATGAATCAAATATATATTTAAAAAACTATTATTCCGTTTATTGTTATAAAGATTTTTAATGGGTAAATTTTCTTAATTTAAAAATTTTTATCAGTTAAAAATATAAATCAAGAATTAAATTTAGCTTAAAGAATGTATGTGCAAAAAAATTCATAAAACCTTCTCTGATTCAGAATTTTCAGAGAGTTTTGTACGCTACTGCAGTGCATTTCAAAATGGCGGGGTGTATGTCAAATTCTGGGTAAATTAAACCGTTCTTGCAAATGGCTACTCAAAAACCCGCCGAATGGGTTTCATCTCTTATAACGAGATTCGAAGAGCAGGTAATAGTTTTGTAATATATTATAACATATATTTTATGAGTTATTTAATTGATTATTATAACCGGTTCTTTTGACAGTTGTCAAAATTTTTTTTTTTTTTAATTCTAAAAACGAACAGTTTTGCATGAGTTAAACATGCAATCGAATATCATTTCGTTATGTGCCTTTAATAATCAATAGTCAACTTCATTGATAAGTTTTTTCCAACCATTTGTTGACCATTCATTCATAATCTTCGGATTTACAATTGGGATTGGATATTAAACAAATGATGAACATGGAAACATTCTTAAAACAAATGATTAACTTGACATTATTTCAAAATGAATTTTTATTGTTATTTGTCATTTATCTCCTTTTGATCTCTTTTTAAAAAAAAATCTTATACAATTTGTAAATATTAATTTGAAAATAATTTTATTTTTTCTTTATCTTAGCTTCCTTGCAGAACGGGCCCTCAAACAACTTATTCCAAATTTAACGAAGAACAAAATAAAAAATGTTTGATAACCATAAGCAAATACAGGTTTTGCTTAGTGATTGCTGGGCTCACAAAAATATTGCAACGAGTAATAGATATGATGATGAACACCTCAAATGGTGTTATAAAACCAATGGGACCTGATATGGAAAAAAATTGTTACGAGTCTTTAGTTATTGTTTTAGAAACTTTAAAAAAATGCCTTACTTGTGAATCAAAGGACAACACCAATTTCGATGAAAATTTAAATGTAAAATTACTGTTGCCTCATATATGCCAAGTAATAGGTAATTTTTAACAAATTTTTTTTTTTTTAAGTTTTACTAATTAATTACAAATAAGTAATACTAATTTTGCAAGTTTAGTTTTTTCAGATAGTATAAGTCATGACAATGCATATTGCGTTCAACTAAAAAATTTGACTTCCAAAGTTTTATTTGCTTTGAGCATTAATTTTTTTAATGCTGTTTTTAATAGAATAACAGGAAGATTACAAGAATTGACTACTACTACTGAGGAAAATCCGGATTGTACCGATTTAGAATTAATTCAATATATAAATGTGGATGTTTCAAAATTGACAAGGCTCCTTGCTGGTAAAAAAAAAAATGTTTTTAACGATAATGCAGAACTGATAAATAAACAAATAAATAAAAAAATATAAAAATGAATATTTTAGATGTCAATTTATCATTAAAATCATTATTAATATTTCTAATTTTGTTTTTTTTTATATTATTTAGAAATGAATCAAAAATTCAAATTAATGAAAAAATCAAGTCATTTAATATTAATTGTTTCGCTTGAAAAAGCAATATGGAATTGGATGGAAACTTATCCTCATGAGTTTGGAGAACTACAAAAAAAACCAAATGAAGAATTATCAAAATTTTGTGAAGGATTATTTGATATCCTTGATTCTTTGAGCGATAATAAAAAAGGAAGAGCAGTCATGTGGTCTCTTCAAATTATGCTTTTAATATTATCACCCGTAAGTTTACACTTAGAGAAATTGAAATTAATTCTTTAAGCGAGATAAAAAATTTATTTAAAAAATTGCAGAAAGTTTTGGAAGAAATTGTAAACGCAGATTCAGGAGCTCCCTGTTCTCCTAGACATTCGAAAAAAAAACAATTTATTGATGCTGTTAAAAGAGCTATTAGTCCACATGGTGCAAGCAAACAATTATCAGAAGCAGCTGCCGTTGCTTGTGTAAAACTTTGCAAGGCATCTACATACATTAACATACTAGATTCAAACAACGTTGTTTTTGCATTGGTTCAAACTGTTATTAACGATTTAAAAGCTTTGCTTTTTAACACGGTGAAGCCTTTCACACGAGGTCAAAATTTTGTAGCACAAGATATTGAGTTGATGATAGATTGCTTTGTCTCTTGCTTCAGGATTAATCCTCACAATAATGAAGCTTTAAAACTTTGTTTAGCTTCTACATCTCCCCCCACATATCAATTTGTACTTGTTAGTTCACTTTATAGGTATAAAATTTAGTTTAATGTTTAAAAAAAAAAAACCATAGAAAAAAAAAATTCCAGTCATATATGTTTTAAATAATTATTTCAGAATTGTAACACAACCGAGACTTTCATGGTGGCCTCAGATAGATGTTATGTATAGTAAATCTTCAGAATTAAGATCAATGTTTACAGATACACTGAATAAAGTAACTCAAGGATATATTTCTCACTTGTCGATAAAAATGATTCCTTCATTGGTAATCTATTAGCAACTTTTAATACAATTTGTCATTTACATAAAAAATTAGTAATTTATACATTTTTTTATGTTTTAGTCGTTAACGCTTAAAGGGAAAGATTCCATGTCTAAATACAAAGAAAGGGGAGATGAAAATTCCGGTTACAAAAATTTATTGATGCTGATGGTTCGTCTCATACATGCTGATCCCATGCTGATGTTAAATGTTGGTAATATTTTTATTGTATACTTTTACTGACGATGCAAAGTATTAAACTCCTTTTTTTTTCTTCTCAGAATCAAGGAAAAACTGGACACGAAATTCAAAGCTCAACTTTGGAATTGATTAATGGCTTAGTAAGTTTAGTTCATCAACCCAGCATGTCAGATGTTGCTCAAGAAGCAATGGAAGCTCTATTAATTTTACATCATCCTGACAAAATTGAATCGTGGAATCCCGAAGCTCCAATTAATACTTTTTGGGATGTCAGTTCACAAGTATTGTTTTCCATTTCTCAAAAATTAATTCAACATCAAATAATGAATTACACGGATATTTTAAAATGGCTGAGAGAAATTATGGTGTGCAGAAATGCTTTTCTTTTACGTCACAAAGACTACGCCAACATGGGGAGCAAAATTCCGATTTGTAAACAAGCACATATTAAATTAGAAGTACATCGAAAGATATTAAAATTTATATATTCATTGTGCAATTTAGGAGGTTTTAATATTAATTTTAATTTCTATAGGTAGTTTTTTTCATGTATTTGTGGTCCATTGATATGGAGGCTGTGTTGGTGGCCATGTCTTGTTTTAGTTTACTTTGTGAAGAGGCTGACATAAGGTGTAATTCGGATGAATTCACGGTTACATATTTATTACCAAATTATCACGTATATCAAGAATTAGCTCAAGCTTCAACGGTTTTGACAACTGGTGAGTTTGTACATTTATATATATATTATTATTGTTTTATAGAAAAAATTTGCCGAATAATTTTTTATAAATCCATTTAATCTAATAGCTAGCGGGGATTCTAAACTTTTTAGAGAATATCACAACGGTAAGGTGAAATTACTTAACGGAAAATTTTAATGTTACAAAAACAAACTGAAAATTTTTTTATTTTGTTAGGTCGAGCTGCTCTACAAAAACGAATAGTTGCCCTGTTGAGAAAAATTGAACATTGCGTTAATGGAGTTCATCCGGTAAGAAATGAATTAGAAATAATTTTAAAAATTATGCGTTTTTTTTTTTAATATTAATTTTCGCTTTGTATTGTGATTTTTAGGCTTGGGAAGAAACCTTTAGAAATTGGGATTTATCCACAAAAATGTTGACATCGTATCCCAAAGCAAAATTAGAAGATGGACAAACGGAAGCTTTGCATAGATCCGTCGGAAAAAGGCGATCGTCTCACCAAAACAGCGAACATGATTTAGAAGAACAAATTAACGAATGGGCAAATATGACGGGGTTTCTTTGCGCTCTGGGAGGAGTCTGTTTGCAAAGAAAATCTCCCACGAAACCAGGAACGAGTTTTGGAGCGACCACGCAGCACATAGAGTTTCGTAAGTGTAGTAGTGTACTGGCTGGCTCTAGTCAAGACGTTCAATATTGTCCAGTCACACAGTGAGTAAGACATATTTATTCATTTGCTTAAATATTAAATGACATTATTAAAAACTTTTCACCATTTTTTTAGATTTGTCGGACAATTATTAAAATTATTAGTCTGCAACAACGATAAATTTGGACCGCAAATACAAAAGCACGTAAAAGAGTTAGTCGGACATGACATGTCTCCGGCATTGTATCCGATTTTATTCGATCAAATTAAAGTTATAGTCGAAAAATTTTTTGATTCTCAAGGCCAAGTAATTGTTTCCGAGTATAACACTCTCTTTATAGAGCATATAATTTTTATTATGAAAAACGTATTGGATACAAAGTTGGAACAACAGCCTTCTGAGCAATTGGGAATTACCTGCATTGAAGGAATTATGCTGGGCGTAGTTCGGTAAATTAACTGTCCTTTTAAATCTTAAACTTATAGTTAAAAAGAAATCCAATTCTAAAATGAAAAATTTTTTCAGGTATGTTAGGCACCTTGACATGACCGTTCATTCGCTTCATAATAAAACTAAATTATGCCAACTCGTTGAGGTGATGATGAAACGAAGAGATGAATTGGCTTTTCGTCAAGAAATGAAGTTCCGAAATAAAATGGTTGAATATTTAACGGATTGGATTATGGGATCTTCACATCAAATGGTTCCTCCGGGAAATGCTGATGTCATTCCTATCACAAGGTAACCAACTCTTTTTTTTAATTATTTTTATAAAATTTTTCTTTTTTTTTTTTAAATTTTAAATTATAAATTTACAGAGATTTAGATCAGGCTTGCATGGAAGCCGTGGCTTCGTTACTAAGAGGTCTTCCTTTACAGCCTGAAGAATCGGATAGAGGAGATTTAATGGAAGCCAAGAGTCAACTGTTTCTAAAGTAATTTAATTTAACTTTAATTTTTTTTGTTAATTAAATAGCATTTAATGCAAAATTTGATTCGATTTAATTTCCATTCTAGGTACTTCACTTTGTTTATGAATCTTTTAAATGACTGTAGTGATCCTCAAGAGGTTGAAAAAGATGTTGGTAGGCAACGTGCCAACGTAACAAAATTAGCAGCTCTTAGAAATGCAACAATACAAGCCATGTCAAATTTATTGTCGGCGAATATTGACAGCGGGCTAATGCATTCAATCGGTAAGCGATTCGGGTATTTAAAAGGGTATTAATTTTGAAGGAAAATTTAAAAAATACTTTTGTTTCAAGGTTTGGGTTATAATCGTGATCTACAAACTCGAGCTGCTTTCATGGAAGTTTTAACAAAAATATTGCAACAAGGCACGGAATTTGATACTTTAGCTGAAACCGTGTTTGCCGATAGATTTGAACAATTGGTACAACTTGTAACCATGATCAGTGATAAGGGTGAATTACCGATTGCCATGGCTTTAGCAAGTGTTGTCACGAGTTCTCAAATGGTACGAGTTTTATTTATAATTATTGTTAAAAAAGACCCGCGTTAATTTTTTAGTTCTATTTAATTTTATTTTGATTCGTAGGATGAATTAGCACGAGTTTTCGTTACTCTTTTCGACGCGAAACATTTACTGTCTCCACTTTTGTGGAACATGTTTTACAGAGAAGTAGAAGCATCAGATTGCATGCAAACATTATTCAGAGGAAATTCATTAGGAAGTAAAATAATGGCGTTTTGTTTTAAAATTTACGGAGCGAGTTATTTACAAAGTTTATTAGAACCGCTTATTACCACGCTCATTGAAGATCCGGAAAAAAATTTTGAAGTGGATCCATCTCGTTTGCCCAACGAAGATAACATCGAACAACATCGTAAAAATGTTATCAATCTCACGGAAAAATTTTTTGCTTCCATTTGTAATTCCGTTGATAAGTAATTGATCGATTTAATTAAATTAATGTTCGGTATAATAACCAATCTTGGATTTTAACGTGATTATAATTGTTTTCTGAATTTTTAGATTTCCTTCCCAGTTGCGCAGCATGTGCCATTGTTTGTATCAGGTTCTTACCAAACGATTTCCTCAGTGCCCCCAAAATAATATCGGCGCTGTTGGTACCGTCATTTTTTTGCGTTTTATTAATCCTGCCATCGGTAAAATATTTTCGTCGAACTTATCATCATTATTATTTTATTTTCTATAAGGGATTTTTTGTTTAAATAGTTTTTTTTTAACTTCAGTGTCTCCACAAGAACAAGGAATATTTACCAAAACTATACCGCCTAATGCGAAAAGAGGTTTGATGCTAATGTCGAAAATTTTACAAAATATTGCGAATCACGTTGAATTTAGTAAGGAGCAACACATGATACCTTTCAACGACTTTTTAAGAGCTCATTTTGAAGTCGGAAGAAAATTTTTTGTACAAATAGCTTCGGATTCTGAAAGTGCCGATCAGGGTGCTCACTCGATGTCTTTCATTAGCGATGCAAACGTTTTAGCATTGCACAGATTACTGTGGAATCATCAGGAAAAAATAGGAGATTATTTATCCAGTTCGAGAGATCACAAAGACGTCGGGAGAAGGCCTTTTGATAAAATGGCCACGTTATTGGCATATTTAGGACCGCCTGAACACAAACCGGTTGATTCTCAGTACGTTAAAAAACTTTTGCGTGAAAAAAAAAAAAAAAAAATTCATAATTTAAAATATTTTCATTTCATTTATTCTTACAGTTTATTGTTTTCATCTTACGCGAGATGGAGTTCCATAGATATGAGCAGTACAAATTTTGAAGAAATAATGGTGAAGCACAACATGCACGAAAAAGAAGAGTTCAAATCCATCAAGTCATTGAATATATTTTATCAAGCGGGAACTTCAAAAGATGGCCATCCTGTTTTCTATTACATTGCTAGAAGATACAAGTTTGTTTTTTTCTATAAAAAAAAAAAACTGATAAAATTTGGTAATTTTGTAAAGTTGAAATTACCTTTTTTTATTTTTTAGAATTGGAGAAACTAATGGAGATTTATTAATATATCACGTGATTTTGACACTAAAGCCATTTTGTCATTCGCCATTTGATTTGGTGGTTGATTTTACTCACACGTGTTCCGATAATCGTTTCAGGCACGTGCAAAATAATTGCCTATTTTTTTTTAAATATTGATTGTTTTTCGTCGTAAGTTATAGAACGAAAATTTTTAATTTTTCAGAACTGAATTCCTTCAAAAATGGTTTCACGTTTTACCGGAACTTGCATATCAAAATATTCACATCGCGTATATTTATAATTGTAATTCTTGGGTTCGCGAATATACTAAATTTCACGAAAGGATTTTGGCGCCTTTGAAGGTAATTATAAAAAAAAAAGGTTTTAATTGAAGTAAGTATTATCGTCAAATTACTGTAAAATTTATTTTTCACATTTTAGGGAAGTCGTAAATTAGTTTTTGTAGAAGCTCCTGCGCGATTGTGCGAATTTATCGACGTGGACCTACAAAAATTACCCGGCGCAACACTGTCGTTGGACGAAGATCTTAAAGTTTTTAACAACGCTTTAAAATTATCTCACAAAGATACGAAAGTGGCCATTAAAGTTGGACCCACTGCCATACAAATAACATCCGCCGAAAAGACAAAAGTTTTATCACACACCGTTCTTTTAAACGATGTTTATTACGCTTCAGAAATAGAAGAAGTTTGTCTCGTGGATGACAATCAATTTACTTTAACGATTGCCAACGAATCGAGTCTTTTATCTTTTATTCATACCGATTGCGATGCTCTCGTACAATCCATCTATCACATAAGAAGCCGATGGGAATTATCTCAACCTGTAAGTAATTATTTTTTTTTTTTTTATTTAGAAAAGGGGCAATCTTATTAAAATTTCTTCCTCTACGTTTAGGATTCTGTGACCGTGCATCAAAAAATACGACCCAAAGATGTACCTGGAACGCTATTAAATATGGCTTTGCTAAATCTCGGTTCCTCTGATCCAAATTTAAGAACGGCAGCCTACAATCAATTGTGTGCGTTAACAGCGACTTTCGATCTTAAAATAGAAGGAAAATTATTGGAGACGTCCGGTAAATATTATTCATTCAAAACAAAATAATTTGAAAAAATTTTTTTCGCGATTAATTTAAGGTAATTTTTTTTTTTTTTCAGGTTTATGCATACCTTCGAACAATACATTATTTATTAAATCCGTTAGCGAAACATTGGCCAACAATGAACCACGATTAACGCTTGAGTTTCTCGTAGAATGCATCGAAGGTTTTAGAGTTTCAACTATCGAATTAAAGCATTTATGTTTGGAATACATGACGCCGTGGCTTCCCAATCTGGCAAGGTTGTTACAAATAAATAAAACTTTTTATTTATTATTCACTCCTCTTTATTATTTTAATTTTAATTTTTTTTGTTTAAGGTTTTGTAAAGCCAACGACGAGAGCAAAAGACAGTCAAAAGTCGCACACATTTTAGAACAATTAATTTTACTCACGATCGAAGAAGGAGAAATGTATCCGTCGATTCAGGCAAAAATATGGGGTACAATAGGTCAAGTACCGGATCTCATAGACATGGTTTTAGATAGTTTCATTCATCGCTCCGTGTCTTCCGGTTTGGGGTCTCCGATGGTTGAAATAATGGCGGACACGGCCGTCGCGTTAGCTTCGGCAAACGTACAATTGGTCGCGAAAAAAGTTATCGGACGGTTGTGTCGCGTTTTCGAAAGAACTTGCAAATCGCCGACTCCGCTTGTGGAAAATCACATGTTGTGGGACGACATCGCCATTTTAGCCAGATACCTCCTCATGTTGTCGTTTAACAATTGTTTGGACGTCGTCAAACACCTTCCTTTCCTTTTTCATTCCGTAACTTTTTTGGTCTGTTCGGGTTCTTTGAGCATGAGAGCATCGACCCACGGTTTGGTTATCAATATAATTCACTCGCTGTGCACCGTCACCAAACCGACCTTTTCCGAAGAAACTCAAAGAGTTTTGCGTTTAAGTTTAGACGAATTTTCTCTTCCGAAATTTTATCTTTTGTTCGGTATAAGTAAAGTCAAATCAGCAGCAGTTACGGCGTTTCGATCAAGTTATCGTCATCCCCACGACAGATGGTAAACATTTATTTACGAATAAGTTTGCTACGCGTCATCACGATTTCGAATTCAATATGTCTCTCTCTCTCTTTGTTAAAAACCGCAGGTTTCAAAACGAAAGAAGTTTTTCGGGAGTACCTCAAGATAGAGAACATTTATCGTTGACTTCGTTAGAAGTAATAACGGATGCTTTGCTGGAAATAATAGAAGCTTGCATGAAAGATATACCGGATTGCGATTGGCTTCAAACATGGACGACGCTATCGAAGAAATTTGCATTTTCTTACAATCCAGCATTACAACCGAGAGCTTTAATCGTCTTCGGATGCATAAGTAAATAAATACGGCGTGCTTTTTTTTTTTTTCCCCCTAATCAAATTATTATTATTATTATTATTTCATTTTTTTCTAATAAAGGTAAAAGTGTCACTGATCAAGATATGAAACAGCTTTTGAGAATTCTTGTTAAAGCGTTGGAAAATTTTACCGATATTGCTCTCTTGGAAGGTTTGGTCATGTGTCTTACCAGATTGCAACCTTTATTACGACCGGTAAATATTTAATTACGCCATTTTTTTTTTTTTAAAGGTTACATTTTAAACATTTTTTTATTTAAAAGGAATCTCCCATACATCGAGCTTTGTTTTGGGTAGCCGTTTCCGTTTTGCAGTTGGATGAATTTTCACTCTACGCTTCCGGTTTGGCTTTACTCGAACAAAATCTTCACACATTAATTTCCCAGGGATCGTTCGAAGATAAGGTATTTTTTTCATCGGCATCGGTCGGGGGGTGTGGGGGAGGGGGAGGGGGAGGGGAAACTTGCATTAAAATTATTAATAAAATTAAATTTTTTAGAGTTTGGAATACGTCATGATGACTACGAGAGAACCGCTGGAATGGCATTTCAAACAATTAGATCATGCCGTGGGACTCAGTTTTAAGGCAAATTTTCATTTCGCTTTAGTCGGTCATTTATTGAAAGGATATCGACATCCCACACCGACGACCGTTTCAAGAACTTCGCGAGTATTATTGCAATTGCTCGGAATCATTGCCAAAACTCACAAAAGAGATAAATTTGAGGTCACTCCCGAAAGCGTGGCTTATTTGGCTGCGTTGGTGTCGGTGTCCGAAGAAGTTCGGAGTAGGTGTCACGTGAAACATTCATTTTCAAGAATTTTACCGGAGTCTTTAAGCGTCGATAGTTTTCCCGTCGATTTACATCTGAGTTTAATACCACAGGTAATTTCAAATTTAACTTTGACGCGATTATTTAAATTTCTATCAAACTAACGTCTCCTTTCAGCCGGTAAATAGTTTATCACCGGCAAATTTCGGACACGGTCCGAGACTTTTCGAAAGTCCATTTTCAAAATCGGATTCGCATCAACAAGTTTACGTTTTTCCAACGACGCCGACGAATCGTAGGCAAAAATCTTGGGATTTGCTAGACCAAGGTACTTTCAGCCAAGGACCCAGACATCAAAAACAAGTTAGTCTATTATTATTATTATTATTATTATTATGTACAATAAATAAGTAGAATATTTTTTATTGTCGCTTTAGAAATTTCATTGGCTGCATATATATATAAAAATGTCAGTAGTTTTTATTACGAAGTTGATGACCGTTTAATTTCAAAACCCGATATCTAAATTTATGTTTTTGATATGATTGATTGATTGTTTAATTTTAAAAGGTGACGATGATAAGTACGGTAGAATTATCATACCTCGCTTATGAGTGTTTTACCCCCCCTCCTCCTCTTCCTCTTCCTGCCTCTCCCTTCCCCTCTCCCCTCTCCCTCTCTTTCTTTTTGTTGGAATTGCACTGGTAAGATTTTCCCTGTCGGAGATGACACGTGATATATGTTATGTAAGTCAAATATAATTAATGCATGGTATAATTTAATTAAGAAAAGTTATATGAAGAAGAAGAAGAAGAAGAAAAAATTCAATGTATTATGTAATTTCATTGCTAATTGAAATAATAGGTGAAATCGGGAACGTCATCATCAAAGAGCGAAAATGAGAGTAACAAAGGTTGGAGGAGTTTGGATTTGGGTGGCGGAACACCTTGTTGTCCCCAAACATATCCCACCCAGCGACCCCTATGCAGAACACAGAGATCTTCCTCGGTACCGACTCAAAAATCGATTGTTGAGTCAGCCTCCTCGTCTAAAGTAAGAATTGTCCTCTGCTGACTTATTATCGATCAGACATTTCTTTCTATTTATCTATTCCTCTTTCTTTTCTTTTTTCTTTTTTCTTTTTTTTTTTTTTTTTTTTTTTTTTAGGATATAAAAATTAATTTAATTCTTCTTCTAATTCTTCTAATTCTTCTTATTAACACACACATATATAAATTACTAATAATAATAATTTATTTATTTATTTAATATTAATCATGTCATTTATTAATATATATATATTTAAAAAGTAGTGAAAACTATACTAATACTGAGAATAACTAATAAAAAATATTATTAATATTATTAATTATTAAATAATTAATTAATTAATAAATAATATTGCATGTTTATTTGATATACATGAAATTTAATTTTATTATTATTATTATTATTTTTATATGTTTATTTATTAATTTATATGTTTAGAGATATATTTAGTAAGTTTTTTAGAGTGTTAGATATGTATTTTAGTTTTGGTAATTTTTTTTTTTTTTATATATTTTTATGTTATTATTATTATTATTTTTAAAAAATATAATTTCATTGGGGGCTTCTTTATAGAAACCTAGCCCCCCTTCCCCCCAAAAAAATAGGTAATAAAAATAAATAAATAAATAAATAATAGGGATTATTTGTAAATTAATTGATTTCTTTTTTTTTTTTTAATAAATTTTTCTAAAAAAAATGTTTTTTTTTTTTTTATTATTATTTTAGAATCGTAGCGCCCGCGTGTCTGTATCAAATGAAAATAACGTTTTGTTAGATCCGGAAGTGCTAACGGATTTTTCCACCCAAGCTCTGGTTCTTACAGTTCTTGCGACATTGGTTAAATATACGGTGGATGAAAACGAAACGAGAGTATTGTATCAATATTTGGCGGAAGCATCCGTTGTTTTTCCAAAAGTATTTCCGGTCATGTAAGTTTTTATTTAAATTATCCATCATCATCATCATCAACGCATTGTACTCTTTTGAAGTTAATTAATTATTTTTTTTTGTGTTACAGACACAGTTTGATTGCTGCTAAAATCACTCACGTTCTTACCAATTGTCACGATCAGGGAATATTAAATTCCGTTCAAGCCATAATACAAAACATGGTCGCGAACGAAGACAACAATCAACAATTGCATTATTTACAATCTTGCGGTTTTGGTGGTCTCTGGAGATTTGCCGGTCCTTTCGTAAAGGTACAAATTTTTTTCTCTTAAGGTTCCACGTTCGATTTGATACCACGTGCTCCATTTTTGTTTCTTTCCAGTCGAATTGTCCAGTTGACGGAGCTGAATTATTCGTTAATTGTTTGGAAGCAATGGTGGAAACTTGTTTGCCACTCGAAGAAGGAGAGCAAAACATTGTACAATATCCTTCGATGCTTAGCGTATCCTCCAACATGAATTTATCATCTTCCCTATCGAGCTTAACGTTGGGTTCTCCAACGGACAAAGGTGAAAATCCATAGATTTCTTACGTCACGTGACACGTAATCATTTGCATGATTAATAAATGAGTGTAAAATTCATTTTCCTAACGGACAGATTGAATACTTTGTCCAGGAGGGGTTTAATAAGTTAATGATTTGATTTCAATTATTATTATTATTATTATTATGTTTTCATTTTGTTGTTTTTGTTGTTTTTCTTTTTCTTTTTTTTTTTTGGCATTGCATTTTATTACTTGTTTCATGTGCGGCCGATTATGTTTCCTACTCGACGACACACTCCGGGGTCCTTGTGATTTTAAAAATGAAGAATTACCAAAAACGGTTAATAAAGTCCACGATACGTCGAATGATTTCACTTGAGATTAATAATAATAATAAATAAATAAATAAATGATATACATAACAAAATGTTGTTTGTTTATTTATATATATTTTAGCACGTGTTAAAATACTTTAGGTAAATTATACGAATTTTTTTTTTAATTTTTTATTTTCCGCTTGATATATTGATAATGATGATTTTGTGTATTAGTTTATAGTAGTAATTTGTGACGTCAGAGTTTTACAAAAAAATTAATATTTTATTCAAATGTAATTTTTTTCCAGAGCCATCCGTCGAAGTGGGAGTGGAAAATACGAGTTCGATAAAAAGGTCGTCGTTGTGCAAGCAAAGAAGTTTTAAATGCAGTAATTCGAATTCGTTAAAAGGCTCACCCTTAATCTCTCCAAAATCGTAAAAGTAAGATTTTATTTTTTTTTTTATTTATTTTTAAATATTTTTTTTCCCTTTGTTTTCGCGCACGCGCACGCGCACACACACAAGATATTATTACGTCCTTCATTTACTCCCCCCCCCCTCCCTGAAAAATAAGAAGAAAAAAAAAATGTCACAAAACATTTTTAATTAATTTTCGAATTCGATTTTTTTTGCCGTCGAAAGGATTAATAAATTAATAGTTTGTACATTTATTTATTTATTATTATTATCATCATTATTATTATTATTATTATTATTATTATTTTTAATTATTTTATTTATTTTATTAGAATCGAATTCGTTGTTAGGACCGTCGTACATTTTTCTCAGTACAAAATGAAATATTTTTCATTATTATTATTATTATTATTATTATTAATGTGAAAAGTATTATTATTATTATTGTTATCATTTTTGTAAAAATTATTATTATTATTATTATTATTAAACGGAAAAGGTTTGTCTAAGGAGATTTTAGAATACAAGCTTTGGTATTTTGATCGTGGGTTTGTTTTGCTCCCTCAATCTTACAAATAAAAATCGATTATTGTAGAAATAATAATAATAATAATAATAATAATGATAATGATGATGATGATAAAAACGAATCACTTCCCGATATGTTTTATTATTATTATTAATATTCCTGTTTCGTTTCGAATTTTAACTTGATTTATTAAACGTGCCAATAATTATAATCAAAGTAAGGAAAAAAAAAATTTTTATTTTTGAAAAATTTTATTTTATATATTAAACGCGCGCTTTTTTTTTTTTTTAAATAGAAAGACTGATTATTATTATTACTATTATTATTATTATTATTATTATTATTATTATTATTATTATTACTATTATTATTATTATTATTATTAAAATGACATTTTATTATTAATCGTGTTAGAGGATGGATTATGAATTCGAATTTAATTAATTTATTTAATTTATTTAACGTTATTTCAAATGAAATATTTTTATATTTGTAACCGAAAGGTTTTATTATATTTAAATAATAATAATAATAATTTTTTTTTAGTATGTACATAAACACGCACATAAAATTTATGTATGACGTATACCTAACGTGTACCTACGAACCTTTTTTTTTTTTTTTTTTGAGAAAAAAAATTTTTAGTAGGGAAAAAGGTGTATCGTGGTGTATCGCCAGGTTTTTCTTTTTAATATTATTATTCGTATTTAAAAGTCGTGGAATTAGACAAAAAACAAAAAAAATTCGTTCGTTTTATTTTTTGAAACGACGATAATCTTTATTATTATTATTATTATTATTAAGGGTTGTTTGTACGTTTGTTTGTTGTTTTCTTACAACAAACAATGTTTGTTGTTAATATTTTTTTTACTCGTTTTATATAAATAAATGAAGGATTGGAATTGTTGTTGTTGTTGTTTGTATTTTATTTGGTTCCGGTATTGCCGTAAATGGGTCTCGGCGTTACCAGGTACTCGTGTTGTTGTTGAGGTACGGCTGTCGAAGAATGAATGGGAAGATTTTGATAATTGTAAATTTGCGTGGAAGGAGCGAAAGAAACGTACTGTTGTGTTATGTGTTGAGGAGGAAGAGTTGACGAAACGTAAGATGGTTGATGATATGTTCCCGCGGGAGTTCCCGTGACTTGCAACGTGGGAGAATATTGAGATTTGTAATTAGGCGATTGATTTCCATGAGGTTGTATCAATATTTTCACGGCTCCATTATGAGATCGAATTTGTAATGGCGTGAAATTTATTGGATTTGATAAATATTCAGGTCGAAGGGATTCGCGTCCGTTTGTTATCGGTATTATTTTCTCGGATAAAATAATCGGATGATTGTTGTACGTTTGTGGTAATATTTCCGGTAGTTTTCTCGGCGTTTCCGGTTCGTGTTGTAACGATTCGTACTCATTTCTATTATAATATTTGTCTCCTTGTTCTTCGTATTGTACGTCGGCTCTATATCCCTTATGATCGGCCGTGTAACTCACGACTTGTGTTCTACCGTCGGGTAATTTGACCCTATATTGACCTCTCGTAGCTTTTCCGTTATGCGCTTGAGAATGTGAAAAATCATCTCCGGATAATTGATTTTTTCCCGTGTATGTAAATGCATAATTCTTGGGAAGCTAAAAAAAAAAAAAAAAGAAAAAAAAATTACACCGCCTTCTGACACGCCTAAAACTGTTTTTTAACTTTTGCCACGATCGTCGATCAATCGCCAAACGTGGCAGAACCAAAAAAAAAAAAAAAAAAAAAAAATTAAAACCACGTAGTATAAAAATAATTCTCACATTTGACGCAGGATCTGTGTCGTATTTGTTTATTTCGTTCGTTTCGATTTGTTTTGTTGGCACCGCTGACGTATGTGTCGGATAATACAATATCCCTCCGTCTACATAATTATTTTGATTTTGTCTCGATCTTAATTTTTCAACTACGACGTAAGGATTATTTAAATTTAATTGTTTTTTCAACGCTGCAGGTATGCCAACATCCGTATACGGATGATAATTAAAATCACGTGGTTTTAAATATCTTTCCGGAAGTAATTCGTTTCCCGGAACTGCTAAGGCTATTGGAAAAATAACCTGGAAAAAAAAAAAATAGAATTTACCAAATAAATAATAATAATAATAATTAACGCGTTAAATTTTTTTTTTTTTTAAATCTTCGTCGTCCGAAATTTATTTAATTGATAATAATAATAATAATAATAATAATAATAATAAATAAATAAATAAATGCATTCGTTTCTTAAATAATAAAATATTATTTAACCCCGTGTCAATGACAAAAAAAAAAATTTCGTTTTGTAATAATAATAATAATAATAAAATTACGTAATAGAAATTGTCTTGTCGGTATAAACTTTCAGTTTAAGTAATTCTTTATAATCTGGTGTGTCTATATTAGTAGTGGTGGTGGTAGTGGTAGTGGTAGTAGTTAGTCGACATGTTTTAAATTACAATCACTACTAAAACCACTACAATAATACTTATCCTTTGAAATTTTTTCTAATTGTTTTTTAAAACACACACACGCACACACACAGTTAAACAATAATAATAATAATAATAATAAAACATTATTATTGCTTCCGCGTATTTTTTTTTTTTTTTTTTTAGAAATTTCTAGAAGAAAATTTTAACAGAAAAAAAAAAAATGGATCGTTAAGTTAAACCGTTATTTTTAAAACCGAAAATTAATAGTAATGATAATAATAATAATAATAAATTTTTACTTATTTTTTTTTTTTTATTATTAAATTTAAATTCAAAAGAATACTTAAAAATTATTTAAACAAAAAGAAAAAAAAAGAAAAAAATTTTGCAATTCGATTTCGTTGGAAAAAAAAAAAAAAATTACATCCTTTATTATTATTATTTAAATTAAACAAACAATCATAGAGAAAATTTTTGTTGTTTGTATATACCGTAAAAAATTATTATTATTATTATTATATCGCATAATACCCTTTTATTGAATATTAGCTTCTTACGATTTTGATTTATGCAATTTTCCATTACGATTGAGTAAATAAATAAAAAATTGTGAGAAAATAATAATAAAAAAAAAAATTCAATTGGAATAAAATAATAATAATAATAATGATAATAGTAATTCCACGCAAGGATTTGCAATTGTTTCGTTTTTAAATTAAGTCATTTATTTACATAACCGTTACAAATAATAATAATAAAAAAAAAAAAAGAAGCAATTTTATTTAATTTTTCGTGATTTTAATATCAAATAACTTTTTTTATCATCATCATCATCATCATCATCATTATTATTATTATTATTATTATTATTATTATTATTATTATTATTATTATTATTATTATTATTATTAGTTATTAAAACTTTTTAATCAAATTTTCAAAAAATAAAAAATTTTCATTCGAGTAACAATAACAAAAAATTTACAATATTAAAAAAAAAACGTTAAAATTTATTTATTTGTAAATAGTAACAATAATAATAATAATTTATTTTTTATTTATTTATTTATTTAATATTTTATTATTATTATTATTAAAAATAAATAAATTACGAATTCCGCGTACCGCGAAAAATTTAAATTTAAAAATTAATTAAACACGATTTGTGTGTTTTGTTATCATTATCATTATTATCATTATTTGTTTACATACGTTAATAATAATAATAATTAATAAATTTTCACCTGTAAAATAATCCAAAATAATCTATAATGATACATAATATAATTTAACGTAATCCAACCGTTAATTTAAAAAAAAATCATCACAATTTTTTTCACGTGAACACACACACACGTACTAATTCTCGCAACCTACGATTTACCCTGTACTGTTATGATCATCATTATTATCAAAACGTTGAATATATACTAGCCCCCCACTTTTTTTTTTTCCTTTTCTTTTTTTTTTTTTTTACGAATCCCTTAAATGTTATAAGTTCTTTACCGGTTTCTTTTTTTTTTAACGTCGGAAAATTTATTTGCAATATTATCATCATCATTATTATTATTATTATTATTATTATTATTATTATCATCATCATCATTATTATTATTTAATAAGTTTTGTAAATAATGAAAAATTATTTCCGTTCGATTTTTTTTTAATAATGCCAATAAAATAATGAAGACGATTAACATTAATTTAACGGTTTTTTTTTTTATTATTATTATTAATGGAATTGTAAAACTTTCACCGAAACCCCTCGAATAAATTTTAATAAGAATGAATGAATGAATGAATGATTGAATAATTTACTTATTTATTTATTTATGAATTAAAATTTTTTTTTGCAAACGAATGACGAAAATTAAATTTAAATAAATAAAAATTTTTTATAATTTTTATGATAATAATAATAATGACTCGTTTATTTATTTATTTATTTATGTATTAATAAATTAAATCGTTTATGTTAATAATATGACGTCATCCTAACGGTGAGAATTAATTAAAGACGTTTTAATTTTATAAGAAATAAAAAAAAAAAAAAACTTATCTACGCGTTTTTATTACGTATTGTTTTAATAATAATAATAATAATAATAATAATAATAATAATAATGATAATGATGATAATAATAATAATAATGATAACGATTTAAAAATTAAACGGCTTAAACGATGTTAAACAATAAGAAATTCATGTATTATTTAATGATTTTCCTTGGCCTCTTACACACTTTTTCTTCGACCGACACAACACACACAAAAATTGTAAATAATATTATTATTATTATTATTATTGTGTGTACAATAGGAGACTAATATTTAATAATAATAATAATAATGATAATGATAATGGAAAAACAAATTTTCTTTCGAAAGGTTTTCGTATGGTTGGTTTGATGATGAGTGATGGATGACCCTTGAACGAAAGACGGACGCCATGACGAATTTTTTATTTTTAATAAAAAAATGACTTATGATAATAATAATAATGAGATGGATCTTATCGATGATAAGGTTTTAATTTGAACGGTCACTAAAGTATCCGCCGTACCTGTCAACATAATAATAATAATAATGATGATGATGATGTATCCACCTTTCATGAGCGCGAAGGTCATTTTAAATTTCGAATGGATTAACCAACATCCTCAATTAATTTTTTTTCTCTCTCTTTTTTTCTCGTTTTTTTTTTATTAATCAATTAAATTTTTTTTTTCTTATAAATATTAATAATAATAATAATAATAATAATAATAATAATAAAATTCGTCATCGTCATCGTCGTCGACGTTTGTTGTCGACAAAAAAAAAAAAAAAAAAAAAAATTTTACGATAAGATTTAAAAATTTTTTATTTTACAAATGGACCTACTATCATTATCATTCTTATCAAATATAAATATTAACAAAAATCATTCATTTTTCGGCATTATCATTATTATCATTATTATTATTATTCATTCGCGTTGTGTAACGTAATAATAATAATAATAAGAGCAAATGTGTTTTAATAGGTGGGAATTTTTTTTTTTTTTTTTTTTGTTCCATTGGTGGTAACATTTGCGTGTGTGTGTGTGCGTGTGAAAAATGATTGCCATTCTCTTTTAATCAAATTTTTTATCAAATCGACGTGGTATTATTATTATTTTCTAACACGTAATAATAATGATAATAATGATAATAATAATAATAATATTTCCATTTCTAACTGGAATGTTATAATCGTTTATCATCTTTCCAGAACAATTTATTTATTTAT